AGTTATTGGCACACATTTACCAGACTATTCCTGAACCTCAGTTTCCTTATCTATAAAATGGAGCTGCTAAAGAAAATAGAGATTTCTTTTTATTACAAAATGATATGTTTACTGTAAAAAAAAAATTTTACTGAAAAAATTCCAAAAATGTAGAAACAGAGGCAGCCCACGGTTTACAGATCCTTCCAGATCTTTCCTATGCCTATATAAATATCTATAGGGGGAGACAGCAGTTTTTCTTAAGACACAAACCTGGAAGTATACTATCTATATTATTCTGCAACTTCTTTGTATCATTCCATAAAATAATGTGGCTAAGATGATGCATTTAGAGCCTCTGGCTCAGTGCTCAATAGATGGTAGCTCTAATTACTCTATGCACCTTGCAGTGATGTTTTTAAACTTTCTTTCAGCAGCAAAAGCCTTTTCAAACAAAATAGTATTTGGAAGCCCAATTTATAAAGTAGATAGAATGGAGCCTCCAGGCTAGGATGCATTTAGATGAGGTAGAGGGCATGGAGCCCCTCACCAACTTGTCTCCCCAATTGTTTTTGAAAACCTCAGTGTTAATATCTTTTCAGGATGGAAGAATGAACTGAATTGAACTGAGCAGCATCATTGTGGGTATGCGCCATCTGGGCGGTTTTCACTTGGGCCAGCCAGCAGGGACAGGAAGTGGGTTCTTCCAAATTGGTCAAAAGAGCCCAAAAGTCCTCAGACTAGAGCAGACCTTGGTGGATCATGTAGCTCATTGGCTTCCTCTTGGCTTGGTGCTAGCCTGCCATGAAGTTTTCATTGGTCCATGAAGAAATGAAGAAAATAAAGCCAATATGGTGAGGTTTCCATGAAGTTAAGCTTATTCACATGTTTCTTTTTGGCATTGCAATGTCTTTTCTTTCATGGAATTATGGTGGTAATAATTGGTAGGGGTGTGTGTGTGTGTGTGTGTGTGTGTGTGTGAATTTCTTACTTACCTAAACAAAAAACTGGCAACTTTATGTTGTTCCCCTACATTTGATTCAAAATTTCACTGATCCACGAGGTCCTACAGCCTAGAGACAGCTGTTCTTGTCCATGTGGCCACTTTGCCAGGACTTCCCTGGAAGAATCCCAGAGAGATAGCAAATTCTATTCTTGTGTCAGCAAAGCTCAAGAACTGCTATCCTTTGATGACATTGAAGGAGCTCTTCCAAGGCTGAGTCGAAGGAATCTTTCCTGGGGTGGAGGCAGGGGCTGTGGTCCAAGAAAGTCACCTGATTCCCAGTGAAGCTCTTGCAAGCCTCTGTTGCCTCTGCCCTTGTCCTTAAGGGGGCACTGCTTCGTTAGAACACTCTGACAGAGCATGAGAGACTCCTAACTGGGAACCTGAACAAGGGGTGGTGGAAAGGGAGGTGGGCTTGGGGCGGAGGGGGGTGGCGGAGGTGATGGGCACTGAGGGGGGCACTTGACGGGATGAGCACTGGGTGTTATGCTATGTTTGGCAAATCGAACTCCAATAAAAAAATATACAAAAGAAAAAAGAAAGAAAAGAAATATCCACAATATAGCCTTGAACTTGAAGAGAAGAAGAAGAAGAAGAGAAGAGAAGAGAAGAAGAAGAAGAAGAAGAAGAAGAAGAAGAAGAAGAAGACCACCACCACCACTCTGGGCCCAACATGGTGCCACACCCTTCTCAATGTCCCATGACCTGAGACAAGAATGGGGCATGCAACTGGGCTTTTGCTAAAGGCTTGTGAATCACTTAAGAGAAGCTAGTGCAAAGCCAGATGACTGGGCTTACAGACGCTGCAGCTCACAATCTGCACCTCGTCCCACCTGCCTACCACCTTCTATGTGCTGATGGCACAGGCAACCTGCTGGAGACCACCAGGGGCCCCACAGCGCTCCTCACATTGTGGGCCTCCCTGTCCACCTCTAAGGACCAAGCTGGGGCTTCTGAAGGGAGATGGCGGTTTCCTTATAGCAGTAATTTTGGTGGAAGAGTAGAACCTATCAAAGAACTGGGGGCTTCCTCCTTTACACTGCTGTGAGTCTATCAGGCAAGTCAGACTTTTGATTTCTGTCATTTAATCCCAAAGCCCCATCCCAGCAGTAGATGATAGTGGGTTGAGTTCAGGAGGCCCCAGGTGTTAAAAATGCGTGGACATCGGATTGAATACATAGTCTTTCACATGGAGGGATGCTTGACAGTATAACATAGCATTTTGGGGAGTCTTTCATTCCCCTTGGATAAAGAAGAATTTTCTGTGGCATGCCTGAGTTGTATCTAGCACTTCTTTTGCTGTCATTCATGTGATTTTAAAATTCTGGCATAATTTTCAACTTAGGACCATTTACTTATATTTGCAGAGAAATTACATGACCTCATTGTTTCTCTTAGTCTTCACTCTGGCCCCGTGATATGGTGTCACTATTCCCGCTTTACTAATGAGGAACCCAAGGCTCGGAGGAGCTCTGTAACTTGCTCAGGCCATTCTGCTAGAAGAGTAAGAAATGACGTTTGAAAAAAAAAAAAAAAAGAAATGACATTTGCTTCTCCTAATCCTGTTCTCTCCCCTCAGTATAGCTCAGTCCTACTTACAACTAGGGAATGCGGGAGTTTCTTTGTTGGTGGTCGTTTTTGTCTTCTCTGCAACACTAACTACTGGCCTTGGGATTTGAACTCAGGAATCTTGCAGCCACTAGCATTGAGTTCCATTAGAGAAACAAGTGACAGGAATGATAGCAACAACAAAAAACTACCAAGAAAGAACTCTTTGAGTTTCCTTCTTGACCAGATTGGGGAACTCTTCGTTGGTCAAGTTCAAAAACGTGCAGAACAAGGCAGAGCATGAGCTACTTCCTTCATCTTTGTGGTTTGACACTAAGCTGAGCCGTGGGACCAACATGGTGCCATCAGGCAACTCCCACCAATCCACCAGCTCACTTTCTCTCTCTCTTTCTCTCTCTTGGGCACACTCTGGGAAGCTCTTGAAAGGATTGTGTTTTCTGCTGCAGGTGGTTGTGCCGATCTTCTCCTGGGAATGAGGAGCAGGTGCCTGAGCTCCTGAGCTCCTGAGCTCCTGATTCTGGCCCATTACAGCTCCTAGAACTTCCCGAATGGCTAATAGAACCACTCTCCCACTCTAGACCCCAAACTTGGGAAATAGGGTGAGGCATGGTGGGGGCCTGTCAGGTTAAGGATTTGCTGCCGGTGGCCCTGGAAGGAGGAGCAGCATTAAACGCTATAGGAGCCAAGCTCTGAGCAAGGGGGCCTGGGGGAGGGCTAAACATTGCCTTGGAAGTACTGGGATCCCAGCCTCTGACATCTCTCCTGATTTGGCTCCTGCCATGAAAGGGTAAGAGGAAGCCTGCTTCTTGGTCAAGGCACCCGGGGTCAACAGAACTGGAGTAGACACAGAAGGAGAGGGTCCCACACCTTATCCCACTTGGGCAAGGAATCCAGTGGAGAGGTGAGGGTTGGGATCTACTGGGGGAAGGAGCGTCCTCCAGGCCTGAGCAGATGCTCCCGGGCTGAGCTGGTCTGTTGGATGGCCCAGGAGTCAGGATGCTCTGGGTTGGAATCCCTGGGCCCTGATTTATTAGTAGTCTAACCTCAGACCAGGAATTGCACCCTCAGCTTCAGTGTCCACAGTGTGCTCACACTTGCCACAGTTCAGATACTATCATATACTGTGGTTCGTGTACACAGTGAAGCGACATGATATTTATGGGGGAGGCCGCCTTGTAGAATGTCCTAATAATAAACACATGAATTACACGTTCAAATTTGTGAGGCAGCTTAATAGTTAAGATCTCAAAGGACATAAGCAGAAAGTTTCCAACTCAAAAACAATAAAGGAGGGGGATAAAAAGCAACAGTGAAGTACCATTTTATATTTGTTCAATTAGGAAAGTAGAAAAAATTAATTACACATTAGGATGTTGAGGTTGTGGTCTGAGTGGTACATTTATATATTTTGATACTTTCAAAAGGCAATGCACCTTTTGAAACCATAAACATTTGTAACCTTTTTTAAATACTCTTCAATATGGTCCCTCTAGTCCATAGAATTAATCCTAAACAAATAATCCTTTTTAAATGTCTATTGTAAGTATTTTTCAAACATACAGAAAATAGAATAGTATAATGAATCCCCTTTACTAAAGGAGTATTTTAACAGAAGTTAAACAAGTATGTCCACAGTGATAAATTAAAAACCATCTATGCAACAGGAAAATGTCTGAATAAATTGTGATTTGTCTTCAGATGGACTATCGTGTAGTAATTGAGATGATAAATATGAAAACTGAAATTGTATAAAGTATGATCTAATGTTTAGTGAAAAATTCAAATTTAAGTTGTGCCTACAGGTAATGACAATAGGGTAAGAACATTTATTTGAGCAAAGGTATTTGCTGCGTGGGGGTAGGGGGATGATGAAGTAGGTTTTTATTCTCCTTGAATATTGTTATATATTTTTACAATGAAAAGAAATGAGAGACATAGTCTAGTCTCCACCCCCAAATCAATCAATGAATAAGCATTTGTTAGGCATCTACTCCACAGGTAATTTGTGTTAAGAGTTGAATTAAGAAGTGGCAGGGGATAGATTTGGGGGCAGGACTTGATTTGGGGGCAGAAGTTGGTCCCTAAGAGTCTCAAAGACTCTCAGAATATCAGAGCTATATGGGACCAGTCTAATACCTTCATTTTATAGTTGAGGGCCCTGAGGCCCAGAGAGGCTGTGATTTGCCCAGAATAACCCAGCAAAAGCCTGGTTAGTCCACATAGGGGTAGGCACTCTCACAGAGCTAACTGGCGGGCCTTACCTCAATCCCCCTATCTCAGGGCACCTCCACATCCCTGAGTCACTGCCCGTGGGTGGAGAGAAGGCAGCCAAACAAAGGACACTCTTCTAGTGCAGAAGCAGGGGGGAGGGGGTGCCCTGAGTGGGGACAGAGGGCACAGGGATGTTGCTCCTAGGTGGTAACCCCCTGTTTTATGATGATCTCCACAGGACCCTGAGTGGGCTCAGCCAGACCCAGCCCTCCCAGCAGCACATGGGGCTGTCCCGGACCGTCCGGCTTTACCCAACCACCACAGCCAATGGTCAGCTCACCTCCAATGCCCTGCCCGCAGGGCCAGGCCTTGAGCGGAGAGATGGCGCCCAGCAGGCAGCGTATCTGGACCACCCGTCACCCCCCTGGGGTAAGGATGCCCTGTCTCAGGGTCCTAGGAGAGCAGGGCATCTAAATCTCTGACCTTCTCATCCTCACCTTTGCTTCCCCTCCACTATCACCAATGAGCTGAGGTTCAGCTGTCCCTCAACCTCTCAGCCAATCAACCAACAGTTGCCAAGGGCTTGCTTTGTGCCAGGCTCCAAGGGTCCCAAACCAGCTGATCGGGGACTTTGCCCTGTCACATATCCTGCCTTTGCTTCCTTGTATCCAGCTGCGAAACTCACCTCCCTGGCCCTGGTCCTTCTACCTCTTCCTTCCTGCAAACCGCAACCTTCCTGGACCAACCTGACCAGATCCTCCCCTGGCAGCCACAGCAGGGCCTCTGCTTTCTAGAGGAGACAACTGAGCATCCCTGTGGGTTCACACCTTGGCACATTCTGGTCATTGCCCAACAGTCCTTTCCTCTGTGCCTGCTCTCTCTCTCTCTCTCTCTCTCTCTCAATCTCTTTCTCTCCCAGTATCTCTCTGTCTGTCTCTCTCTCTCATCCCTCAGAGCAGTTACTCCAAGCTGCCCCTACTTGCCCATGTCCCATCCCATGAGCACATGGATAGGCCACCTGCCACCCCTTGGAGAGCTCCTCGCCTTCCTGCTCATCTGCCCCACTGTGCTCACCACTTCCTTACCTAAACCCAAGCCTGAGCTCACTGCCTTTCCTTTTTCCCATGTTAAAAGTTAAGGTAACATTCACGTAAAATTGACCATTTTAAAGTGTACACACCAATGGTTTTTAGTGTATTCACAATTTTTTGCAACCGCCAGCACTATCTAATTCCAGAACATGGTCATTGCTCCACAAAGAAAGCCCCTGCCCATGAAGCCCCTCTCTCCCTCTCCCAGGCTCCGGGCCCCACTAGTCTACTTTGTCTCCGTAGATTTGCTTATCTTGGACATGTTGTAAACAGAACCTCCACAGAATGTGGCCTTTTGTGTCTGGTATAACTTAGTATGATGTTTTCAAGGTTTATCCCTGTCAGTACTCATTCCCTTTTACGGTTCATGACCTCCTTTCTTGCTATCTTGAAAAAGGGATATCCCCTTTCTTGATTTCTCTAGAATGCTAGACCATCCCTAGTCTTCTCCGCACTCTCTCCCTTCTCCCTCTTCAGCCTGCCCCCTCTCCAGGCCCCTTCCCATCAGCAGATCCACGTAGTGACAGTGCCCATTCTCACACACATGTTTGCACGTGCATACACCCCCACAGAGTTATTTCTTCACTCCCCTTGGGCTTCCATCTCTCTGCCCTTCACAGGACAGCTTCTTGAACACGCGGTCTACGCAGACTTTTGATACTTCCCTCCTCAAGCCCTCTCCCTCTGCCTTCCTTCCCTGGGCTCCCTCTGCTGAATGAATACCCCCCACCTTTGAATTTCCACTGCCACTACCTGTGTTACATAACCAGCTTGCGTGATCACCCTGCCCCCCCTTCCACCTGGACACTCCAGCTGGGAAGGCACCTCTTTGATCTCTTACTGAAAATTTTCAAAGGTCACCACTACCCACCAAATATAGAGCCCGCCCTTGCTCTGGCAGCCAGGACACTCTGCAACCTGACTCTAGTGATTCTCAAAGGCTCTATCTTCCTCTGCTTCTCTTAGAAAACCCCCCACTGGCAAGTCAATTCTCTGCCCATGGGTTCAAAGCCCAGCTGTGGCACTTGCTAGCTATGTGACTTGGAGCAACCTAACCTTGTCTGGGCCTCAGTTTCCTTAACTATAAAATAGAAACATCAGCTTGGTTATAGGACCATTGTCAGTATTCAGCTATTGTAACCCTCAAAAATGCCAAGGATCTAATGGTTAAGCCTAAAAGAGTACTCACTCAAGAAGATAAAAGGTTAATGTACATAAAGCATGGGCTTAGTGGTTGGCACACTGGCATTTCTCAATAAATGTTGGACTGTGAGATTCTCAAAGGTATTACCCTGCCCCCACTATGCCCCCAGTATGGGACCTTGCTTCTAGTAGGTACTTAGCAAATGCCCTTGGGATGGATTCACCCCTGACCCCAGGGGTCTTTCTAACCAGCCTCTGGAGGTCACAGCTGTGCCTCTCAGCCCTGCCCCCTGGACCCAAGCCCTCTCTCTGCAGGACTGAACCTCACTGAGAAAATCAAGAAGATCAAGATCGTCTTCACTCCCACCATCTGCAAGCAGACTTGTGCCCATGGGCACTGTTCCAACAGCTGTGAGCGCGGTGACACCACCACCTTGTATAGCCAGGGCGGTCATGGGCATGACCCCAAGTCTGGCTTCCGCATCTGTGAGTCCCTTCCCCCGACTCAGGTGGTTCCCAGGTCCTGGGGGTTGGGGGGCAGAGGGAAAGGCCTACCTTGGGCAGGAGCCCAGACCTTCTGCAGGAAGGAAGGCTCCTGCTCTCGGAATGTGGCTTCTGTGAGTGGCCCCCAGTGCCACAGAACGCTGGACCCTCACCCAGCGCAGTTACAGCCTAGCCGTGTGACTCAAGGCAAGCCCCAGAACCTGCCCGAGGGCCTGTCTCCCCCCAAGAGAAGTGAGGGCATTAGTAGTGCCACTGGCCTCCTGTCCCTCCCAGTTACTGTGGAGTCCAGGGCCCTGGCATGAAAGGGCTCTTTAGAAAGGCAAGGGCTGGCTCTCCTCCGCCCTTCCTCACTCCCAGCCTCCTGGAAAGCCCCTGCCTCTCAGGGTGTGCTGGGCTCCCCCAGCCATCCAGATTTGAGCCCCCGCTCCCCTGCTTCCCTGGCCCCACCGGCCACGTGGTGGGGGCCGCCGTGTTCTCCGACCACCGGTCACCTCGAGGCCCGTGTCCCAGATTTCTGCCAGATACCCTGCCTGAACGGAGGCCGCTGCATCGGCCGGGACGAGTGCTGGTGCCCCGCCAACTCCACCGGCAAGTTCTGCCACCTGCCCTCCCCGAAGCTGGACGCAGGGCCAGGGGAGCGGGGCTCCCGGCTTGGGGCCCTGCTGGAAGGCCCCTTGCGGCAGTCCACCTTCACACTGCCCCTCTCCAACCAGCTGGGTGAGTGTGGGGCTACGGGGTGCGCTGGGGAGCGGGCGTGGGGTGCTGGCATGGTGGTGGAGGGCACGCCGGCTGCCTCCAGTCTGCACTCCCTCCTTCTCTGCTCCCGGGGCTCAATTTAGTTCATTTCCTAAACTTCTCTTTGCCTTTCCTCTGAACTCAATTTTTTTTTTTTGCCCTTGCCCCCTACTGGGTGCTACGGATGAGACCAAACAGTATCAAGGCAGGGTCCTGCCTTCAGGGAACCCTCCGTCCTGGACAGGAGAGCAGGGCAGGGTAGGAAGGACAGTATCACCCTGGAGGGGGGGCTTCAGCTGGCCTTAAAGGGTAGATAGCCTTTGACTAAGCAGAGAGGGTGAGAGGTGGGGCCCTGCAGGGTCTGTTGGGCCGGATTTCAGGGGTTGTACAGGATCGTGGGGGCAAGAAAAACCAGGAAGGTGGTTTGGAGGTTGAGAGGTCCTTCCTCAGAAGGTGCAGAGTGAAGGAGTTTGTGCTCCATCCTGTCCTCACTGGGGAATTGTGCTGGGGTTTGAGCAGAGAGTGGAGAAATGGAAGGAAGTTTCTGGGGAGACATGCAGCCAGTGGCCTGCCCGGCCCAGGGCTGGTGCTGGGGCTCTGTGGCCCGGCTCTGACCCAGCCCCTGTGCCCAGCTTCCGTGAACCCCTCCTTGGTGAAAGTGCATATCAACCACCCGCCGGAGGCCTCTGTGCAGGTCCACCAGGTGGCACGGGTGCGGGGCGAGGCCCCGGAGGAGAACAGCGTGGAGACCAGACCCTCACCCCGGCTCCCTGCCAGCCCCCGCCACAGCCATTGGGACGGCAACAGCATCCCCGCGCGGTCTGGAGAGGCCCCTCAGCCGCCACCCCCTGCAGCACCCAGGCCCCCTGGACGGCTGGGCCGGTGTTATCTGAGCTCCGTGAATGGACAGGTGAGAGCGCATACCCTGCTGTGGCCCTATGGACTTCCAGAATAGTGCCTGCCCCTCACTCTGCCCCTTCTCCTTCTCTCTCTGCTCCTCATCCTTACGGAATAAATGTCTGCAGCATCTTCCATTGCCCATATGGGAAAACTCAGGATATAACATTGCCTGAGCAAGGAGAGGGCTCCTCCCTACCTTGGCTCTGCTGGGTACTTGTCATTGCCAGGCATTCCAAAGAGAACCCAAAAGAGCCCGCCTCTGTAAGGGCACCAGCATCCTCTGGTCCCAGTAAACCCTGGCCCATCCTGGAGCTGAGCCTGGGACTCCCTGTGCATGGACAGTAGGGCTGTTAGAAAGAGTATGGTATTGAGTTGAGATTGGGGTCACAGAGATGTGGAATTGGAAAAGGCAGGTTAAACCCTAAAGCCTTAGGGCTAAAAGATGAGAGAGCCCCATCCCCCTGGAGGCATCCATAGTCAGTGATGGGAAATCAAGAGAGTTTTTCTGAGTCTAGGCACCTAAAAATATGGGCTAAGCCAGACCCAGGATGGTTTCTGCTGGGGTTGCATTTTGTTGTTTCCAGAAACCCCTCCTGACTTTAGGGAACTGGAGGATGTAGGGAGTAGCCAAGGGATAGAGACTCTGAGTCTCCAGATCCTCCTTGGCCTTTCAGCTTGTAGTATCCCTGAGCCTAGGCCCTGTTCATGGGGAAGGCTTGAATCATGGGTGAGTTCCTTGGACTCTGATGGAGGAAAGCCCATCCTTTGGGACCCTCTGTGGGCTGGGGACATGGAAGGGGACATTTTGCAGACCTGCACAGAACAGATCTTATCTGGACGTCCCCAGGCCCCAAATATAGGTTTTGGTGGAATGGAGTGTAAGTTTCTCTGCTTCCTTCCAGGACATCACCTGACTCTCTTCTCTCCTCCCTTGGGTGAGGCATCGCTGTAGCAGGACATTGGGGTTGAGCTCTTGCCTCAGGCTTTCCTGAGACATCTCTGTGCATGGCAGGGAAGGGAAGAGGGTATGATTGGTGTCCATGGCCTCTTTTCCAGTGTGCCAACCCCTTGCTGGAGCTGACTGCCCAAGAGGATTGCTGTGGCAGTGTGGGAGCCTTCTGGGGAGTGACCTCATGTGCCCCATGCCCACCCAGACCAGGTGAGTGCTAGGTTCCAGGGTGTAGGGTTATGGATGAAGCTTTCCCAAGGCTTGGCCTCCACTTCATCTCCCACCAGGGTCTCAGATGCCAGGCAGGTAGAATGGGCTGATAAACTGGGCAGGCTTTCCAGATCTGCTTTTGAGGGTGCTTCTGGCTGGTGGCTAAGGCTCTGGAAAGCTCATAAGGCTCGAGCCCAGAGGCAGCCTGGACTCTCTGCTCTATCTGATTGCATGGGAGGGGCTCCTTCTTCTTGCCAGTTGTTCTTGCCCAGATTGTAGGAATCCCATCTCATGCAGGGCCCTCTTCTGCCCCTCAGCCCCCTGCCCAGGCATCAGAGGCTCAATGATCTTGATTCAGAGACTGAGCATTTCCCTCATTGTCTCTCTGGAGGGGCCTCCATGCCTCTTCTTCACCTCCTCACCTCCTGTTTCCTAACCCAATTGGGTGTCTGTCCCAGAATGTCCTTGATCTTGGGATATGGGAAACCCTCTTTTGGATGGTAGGAAAAACCTAATATGTATTCATTCATTTGTTCACTCATTCCTTCATTTGTTCAACAAAAACTTACCAGGTGCCTTGTGTGTGCCAAGCACTGAGGATTTGGGAGTCAGCAAAATGCCCATTCATGCTGCTCTCCTAGGGTATCGATCTTACAGTTGGGAGGTGGGTGATGAGATGCCTGTGCCTGATATTGCTTCTGCCCACCCCGCCTGTCTTTTCCCTCTGGGATCTACTCCTAGGGCTGGGCCCAGGCCTGGCATGTATTTCTTTTGCCTGTTAACAGTCAACTTGGTGAGTTGGCTTTGTAGGGGTCTGGCCTGGAGCCCAAAGGTGGGAGGGACAGGGCTGCTCCTAGCTTCAGACTTGGTTGTGGAGCAGTGACCATATTTTCCAAATTAAAAATAAGTTTGGACGATTTTACAGTATGATGGAGCTTTTGGTGAAGTAGCAGAGGGTAGCATTAAGCTTCCGGGCTTGAGCATCCAACACATAGCAGGTACCAACCCAAGCTCTGCTGGCTCACCTCCTTCTCTGCGCCATCTCCAATCTGCAGGATGGAGACGGTAATGGTGCCAGCAGGGCTGCTGTGGAAAGTAGATGAGGCATGTGCTTAGCATTAGGTCAGCAAACAGTAACTGCTATTATTATTGCTACAAAATATCCCTCCACAAAGGGAAAAGGGAATGGACCCACTGCCCCACGAAGAAGAGGGTCTTGAGCTGCTCAGTGTCTCCCCCTGCAGGCCAGAGATGGTCTCACCACTTTTCTTCTTCCCCTGTATCCCCTCCTCCTTCCTGGTTAGGCTCACCCTGGAGACTTCCACTTCCCACATTCCATTCAGTCAGTGGATTTTACATTAATGGGACTTTACATTAATTAATTACATTTGGAGCTCCTAGTGTGCAGGCCCTGGCAAGACAGTGGAGACTGAGGTAGAAGCAGTGCCTCCTTTCTCCAAGCTTATGGTCTGGAGTATGAGGGGAGGGGCATATACAAATAGCACTAACTAGACAAATGCCAAATGCTGTGGGAACACGGCAGAACCGGGACCACAGATAGGTCCTATAGCACCTTTGTACAAATTAGAGAAAGGTGCCACTTCCATTTGTTCAAAATAGCCTTTATAAATATAAATGCCAGCGATTCTCTTAGGTGTGGTGCTTTTGTGCAGTGGACAACCTGCACATCTGTTCACTGTGGGGTAGGGAATCCCAGCTCAAATTTGCATATCAGAGAAAGTTTCATACAGGAGGTGACATCCAGGATGAGGTCTGAAGAATTATTAGAGTCAGCGAAAGAGAGGGGGAAGAGTTTAACAACCCAAGGAAATTGCATATACAGGTGAGACCAAGAGAATGAGAAACTTTTCCTGGAGCACAGCACACCCAAGGCTGTGCCCTCACCTCCTCCCTGTCCCAGTTAGCGCCTCCTCCCCTCCCCCCACCCCCCACTGTGTTGAACACATCTCAGCAAGCTGGGCACCAGGGTACAAACCCTGGAATGTCAAGCATTCCAGCACACTGAGCAAGAAATAACAAAGACCAGGGAACGTAAACACTTAAAATACATTAAAGTGCAGCTAGGCATTGTATAGAGAAGGGGCAAGACGCTGAGGAACCTTGTTTGTGTTGACAAGGTGCCAGACACCTAGCTCCACACCTGAGCCTGGGGCTGGGGGTGGGGGATGTTTCTCTAAGTAGACACGACAAGCAAGCTACCATGCAAGAGTCCAGGGAAGAAAAGTTGAGCTGCTGGGGTGGGTTTGGGAATAGTTGGCAAGACAGACAGGACTTCTGGTTCTAGAACATTCCCAGGCCTGGTGGCCTTGCCCCTCTGAGCCTCTCTGTCTCCTTTGATGAAATAAAGCTGTATCCTTCAGGGAAGGGCTTTGTCATCCCCAGTGACTTCATCTAGCAGAATCAGGGGGTGACAGGAGTGAGAAAGCTAGCAGCTATGTGACCTCGTGGCTTCCCCCAAATCACCTTTTGGCTTCTGAGGCTCCATGCTGGACTGTCAAAGAAGGCCCCTGCAGAATGATGCTATTTCTGATGAGGAAAGGGACTGTGTTGAAGTCTCATTTACACGGCACAGATAAATCCCTTTTCTTCTGGAAAAATTCTCCAGGGCTCTCTTTCTCAGAGAGATGGCTCAGGGAGTCAGTTTAGGTCAGCCCATGGTCTCCACCCTTCTCCCTTCTGTCTGAGTGACAGATGCAGCTGACCTTCCAGGACTCAAGCCTGAGCCACATCTTCCTGAGCCTGGGGAGTTTTCAGAGCTTCTGCAGATCCCCCTGCCAGGGTCCAAAGAGCACACAGCTCTCAAAAGCCACTCTGATTGAGGCCACATTTTTGAGTTTTTGTCTGAGAGAGACAGACATCTGTGTTGACTGGAAAGTTGGCCGCTGCCCCATCTGGCTTGGCACTGGCTGTGTCAACCCCCAGGCCCCTTTGCTGGGGCAGGCAGTGCTGGCATCCTGCTCACAGCCCACACTGGTGGGCTCCAGCTGTTTGCCACGAGATCGGCTATCCGTCTGCCTGGCATGCGCTGAGTTCACCTCAAAACGCAGGCCCCTCCCCATATCTCCAGGGACTGCTGATTCCCTTGCTCTGCCCCTTCAAGGAGTTCTGCATCTTTCCCTCTTAAAAACAATAATAGCCACCAGTTGCTGAACATTTACACCATGCTGGGCTCTTCGCCTGCCTGATCCCTTTAAATTGATGCAACCACGTGCAAGCTAAGGATCTTTATCCCCACTTGACAAATGTGGACAATGAAGCTCAGAGAAGGCTGAGCAACTTGACCAAGGTCACACAGCTGGACAGGAGAGCAAGGCTTCAAGCCACAGTATATCTGATTCTCAGCTGATCAAGATCTCCCTAAATCATTCTGGGGAGATGCGCCCGCGTGAAGACAACAAAAACCAGGACACAGACTCAGAGTGCACAGCCAGGAGGGGGCCGCCCAGGGTCCGTGTTTCATGAGTTATGTGCACACGAAGGGCAACATCCCTCGAGAAGATTGGGACTGGCCAGACAGGCAAGGCAGCAGCCTGCAGCTCAGGCCTGTGAGTCCATGGAGATGTGCCAGTAGAATTGTCCCAGAGAGAAGCCGGTAGGCTTGTCCTATGTGGTTCTGGAGAGCTAAAGCCGATGCGTGGATGCTTCTGGTGAGCAGAGCTCAATCTGCAACTGAGCACAAGCTTTAACAGCTTATTAAAAACTGCAGCCTATCAAAACCCAGTGATATAACAGGGTCCTAGAAGTACTTCGCTCCCCACCACCGAGAGGATGCTTACTAAGAACAGGTTTGTAGGAGCTGGGAAAGGAAATTGATTTTTGAGGAAATGGAGGCTCATATGTATGTGTCTGAAAATGTATTTGAAACCCTGCATAGAAAGAACGCTTTGGTTTGCCTTGGTTTGGTCAGGGCCCTTGCCACGGGACCATTTCAGGTGAGACCAGCCCCCCTGGAGAGGGTGGGGTAGGTGAGGGGATGCAGGCAGTTGGCAGGATTTGGAGCAGGGAGCACCAGGGCAAGTCACAGCAGCAGCGCTGTTATCGTCACCATCACTGTTAGCAACCGTGTCTTCAGAGAGCTCACTAAGTGCCAGGAACCATGCTAAGTGCTTCCTCATTCCACCGCATCCTGACCATGTCTCTGAGAGTTGGGTGTGACCGGCTTCATTTTACAGATGAGGAAATTGCGTCTATGTGACCAGAGACCCCTGCCTCTAACCAGCCTGTGATCTACCTCCTAGGCTGCTTCTTGTGTACTTGACTTGGGGAATTTCCTCAACCAGAGGACCCTGGCTTAGGGAACAGCTGTGTTGGGGTGGGGCTCCTGTTCTCTGGGACTCTGGGTGAGACGCCCAGTCTCCTGCCCTAAAGAAATGGGATTTTTCAGAATTCTAGTTGTTGGGCTGAAAAAAAAAAAAAAAGCAGTGTGCCTTTGGCTCAGGGATGTCCTGAGAGCTTCTTCCAAGGGACTCGAGGCCTCCTGGGAATTGTGCCTCAGCTCATGTTAGCGCCCTCCTTATCCCAGGGCGAGTGTCACCAACACGTGGCATCTCCGGCCTGGAGAGGTCGGGGAAGGTCTAGGGAGGGGTTGGGTGGAGTGGCACCTCGCTGAACCAGGGTCTGAGCCTCTCCACCTCACTGCTTCTGGTGCCCAAGATACCTACTTTGGCTTTAGTGCTGCCCAAGGAAGCAGTCAGAGCCCATCTTCTGGTGGGATTTCCACAATTCTTGGGGTAGGGGGATCCATTAGAACTTCCCCAAACCGGAATATCTGGAATAATGAACCTTATGGTAATCACCAATATGTGACAAGGATCAGGCTCAGAGTTTTGCATGCTCATTTACTCTTCACAAGAACCCCAAAGAAGGAATTGTCACCCACATTTTACTGATAAGAAAACTCAGAGGGGTTGAGTAACTTGCCCAAGTGTCTCCAGCCAGTGAGGGGCAGCAGCCAGCTTGCTATCCTTGAAACTGTGTTG